TATTTGAATGTTGAAGACAGAGTAAAACACTGAAGCTAAAAACCCTGTTTTTAAATTGCTCACAAAAAAGTGTCCAGAATATCTTGCTGTCAATTTTGTCAAAGGTTGGGGAAACCCAAAACAATCATAGTACTAGGGGTAGAGAGCACAACTTTGTAGTACCCACAGTCATTGGCCAGGCGTCAAACACCTTTTATTGTACAGCAATAAAGAAATGGAACAGACTAAACCCGCACATTTCAAAGCCAGTCAAAGCATGAACCAGTTCAAGAAGAGTGCCAAAAGGTGTCTGATGAATGTAGCTACAGAAGGGGGGGAATGATTTCTATTTTTTAGCTAACATACGTGTAAATTTTACCTTATTCCTAGTAATGACCCTCGTATTGTAGATAGTCTTAAAGACCCTCGTGTAGTAGATAGTCTTTTTAGTATGATAATAAGATGTTATCTTCATTGTAAAATAATAAGAAAATATTATAACCTTTATATTATAATAATAAGGTAAAAGGACCCCAATGGAAATAAGTCACTCTGTCTGACTTTTTTGGGTTATCCCAGGTTCTCTACACATATGCTGCTATGTATAATAATTCTATGTAACTGTATTTGTGTATACCTGAATAAACTTACTTACTTACATACTATCTGCAAATGTCAGAGCATATTTTGTGTAAAAACTGTCGGAATTGTGTGTAACATGTTTTAAGACATGTTTCGGGTTGTGATTTGTGTAATATCTTCTGTATCTCATGCACTGTGACGATATATAATTCATTGTATTGTATATTCTTCTTGTATTAAGTAATGTGGTTTTTTTTATCTTACATAGTGTGTCATGTAGTGTGCTTCGTTAAATGTGTCGTTAGTGGCTTGTGTAATGTCAAGGGGAATTTTCTGTGTCTTGTGTTGAATGTGTCAGCCTTGTCATATGCATAGTGACTGACCATAATTAATATTATATTTTATACTGAATCAGTTGCAGGTCACAATGACTAAAACAGAAAAGAGTTAATGGGTAATGAGATTTAAAGCCTATCGACGACACGAGGGCCCTTGATAATAATGATAATGTAATCTTTATTACTGCAAGTACAAGATACAACTATTACAGACCTAGATGACATCATTAGCACACTGAACAAAAAAAAAAAACCTGGTCGTGAAGAGCACTTCTGGCAACTTAGGTTAATCTTGTTCCCCAGGATGCGACCCACAATAGTCATCTAACACTCGGGTACCTACTTACTGCTACTTTCAAGTTCCTCTTGAAGACAGCCAGGGGTCTGCTGGTAATATAATAGCTTAGTAAAATTATATTATTTTTGGAATATTATTCTGTTTGACGAGGTGAAGCTCTCAGACAAGACTCAGTGTTGTATTAAGCAGTGTTTACCTGGAGTTTACCTGGAGAGAGTTCCGGGGATCAACGCCCCAGCGGCCCGGTCTGTGACCAGGCCTCCTGGTGGATCAGAGCCTGATCAACCAGGCTGTTGCTGCTGGCTGCACGCAAACCAACGTACGAGCCACAGCCCGGCTGATCAGGAACCGACTTTAGGTGCTTGTCCAGTGCCAGCTTGAAGACTGCCAGGGGTCTGTTGGTAATCCCCCTTATGTATGCTGGGAGGCAGTTGAACAGTCTCGGGCCCCTGACACTTATTGTATGGTCTCTTAACGTGCTAGTGACACCCCTGCTTTTCATTGGGGGGATGTTGCATCGTCTGCCAAGTCTTTTGCTTTCGTAGTGAGTGATTTTCGTGTGCAAGTTCGGTACTAGTCCCTCTAGGATTTTCCAGGTGTATATAATCATGTATCTCTCCCGCCTGCGTTCCAGGGAATACAGGTTCAGGAACCTCAAGCGCTCCCAGTAATTGAGGTGTTTTATCTCCGTTATGCGCGCCGTGTCCTGTATGATAATTAATGCCGAGTAAATCAAGATTGGCAGACACAGAAATCTAATCTATCGTAAAATAAAATTTTAATTTAAAAAAAGGTACACTGAGCAATACGTGAATTAACATATATTTATCATGTCTCCGCTTCGCTGCATTTCTCAGTAGTAGTACCAGTTCCTAGTAACCAGTTACCAGTAACCAGTGTACCAGTAGATGACTACCAACCGTCTGTGTGAATCATTGACTATTCATATTGCTGCTGACCATAGCAGGATTTCAAACACCCTCACCCGTAGGCACTATGGGTCAGTCGTAGTAGGCAGCAGAGAGAGACAGGTCGGCTGTTGGCACTTTCCATACTTCCCGTTATATATTATACGTACTACCAGCCTACGTGAGTATTTTTACCCATCCACGTATCGAAAACCCACATGACAAATGGTGGCACCGGTG